ACTTTCCTTTCTTCTCCTATTCTTCATCCCAATGGGCAGCCAAAAGACAGCAACCAAAACCGGCGCACGAAAGTGCATGGTTAATGGTTGTTCAAACTGAACTGAACTGAAGGCTCCCTGGCTGGAGACCTCGGGATGATGGTCACCGATAGTTAGCTACACTGAGTGATATGGCTGGGTGTCGCAAACAGTGACGCTCGTGCATCCACTCGTTATTCTCTTAACACCACTCTATATGAATTCCCCCCCTTCCTCTTGAGTTTGCTTCGACATTCCAATCTACATTTTGCTCTTTTATCTAAATGGACAACCAAAACCGACGCACGAAAGTGCATGGTTAATGGTTGTAAAAGCTGAACTGAACTGAGATGTTTCTAGTTTCTGGGTGCGAACTGAGGAGTTTCATATACTGTTCGGGGTATAAAGCTGTTAGATAATGTGATCATGGTCATCGTCATCGCCGTACAACCAAACGCTCATCTCTGCCAGGCTTGCAATGCGTTCAAAGTAAGAGTATGCAAAGTGGACAGTAAAATCATTTTAAGTAGTATAGTTCTATGAGTAGCACAGAGTACACCATCTGTATGTCTAAACAACTTTTCAAGAAGTCTGGCCGATTAGAAGTGACTTAATGAGCGCCGCTGCTGTCGTTTCGTTGTCATATCCTTCAGTCACTTCAACCAACCAGTAGTCTTTTGGACCCCAACCTCGAAGATTAGACTCTTATCTGTACCCACTGGCACCATGCATTTCTTCATGCCTCGTTTTCGCGCCATCTGCTGACCTCCGTGTGATTTCCTCCAACTTCTAGCAGTAAATGTGGCAGGTGACAACTAGACATGCTCAATATGCATCGCAATCAGCGAAGCCGAATGATATGAGCTCGATGTGATAACCAATTTTCCACTGAATCATTCCCCGAAATTTGTCCGCTTACCTCAGTGTTACCAACCTGCTCACTCTATCCCACCTGCGCCAAGCTTAGTAAATAGCAACAGTCGAAAACCTCGAAATGATCAGTGTTCCACGCGTAAGCTTGGGGTCCGTGTACATCACTTTTGCATTTCAAGGGAACGTAACGTCGGCGCCACAGCTGTTTGAGTTCAGCGTGTCAGTCGTGTCTTGGAACTACTGGAGGTTGCCTCCTTTGATATGCTACCGTCATTTGCCACGCAACTACCTAAGCAGGAGAAGCAACCTATAATTTCTGACCGCCAGTCATCAGAACAGGGTTTAACTACACCCGGTTTGGCGGTATCAGTTTATGTTTTGAAGGTGTAAAGCGTATACCAAACGAAACCTTGGAACGTTTTTGTCCACGGAGTGCACTTTACACGTTCTACATTCATTTAATTAGGACTGCGCTGACGACAAGTCAGTGTACTCTAAGTCGCATAGATTTTCTCCAGCTGCCCACTGAAAAATAACACGTATTGACCAACGCCAGTTTTGTACAGAACTTGACAAGTTACCCTTTATTAAACATCCGAGTAAATGGAAATCGGCGACCAATTATGATACGAATTGTTGAGCACTTTAATTGCTTTCCCTTTCCCATCTTAAGTCGTTATATGTTACTAATCACATACGTTGTGTTGTAATGGCATGATTATGACTCTGAAATCGAGCTTATTTACCAATTTATGTTTTCATTGTGTACTGTCGGACTGTTTGAACATTCAAAACCAACACTTTTTAGATCAGTTAATGCGTTCTCCAGTATTTCTTTCACGACATCTTTGGAGCATTAAGGTAAAGAGTGTTTGCTGAGGTGGATGTTGGGCGACAATGTAAGCAGCGGATGAAATGCATATGTATTTATATATTTTCACGCACGAGTTCAGCGGGGGGATGTATGAAACCACAATTTATTGGGGGCTCTCGTCCAGTTCATCAAATACCACGGGTGGTATTTGATACACCAAAATCAAGTAATGCTGAATGGAATATAATCCCATTGATTGTCATCTCTTTACACAGGTGAGGAGATGCAATTACTCTTGATGGCTATCATTTGTGGCCGTTCAACTGTCTTTCGATCAAGTTGCCACTATGGTTTCCAAGTCCGGGTGGCATACTCGGTTCACGGTTGTTTTTGCACTGATAGCTTATTCAAGCCGACATTATATGCAGCTGTAAATGGAGCTCTGGCACAGTTGATTGAACAGCTTGAGTTTTCTCAAACAGTGTTGTCTAGGTCATTCTCACTTGAGGCGAATAGTAGTTGTTGAATTCAAAAGGACTGCGAACATCGAATATTGTGACGTATGGAAAGGACTTTGTATTTAGAAACATAAAATTCAGTGTTGTTCTGAAAAGACCCTTGATGAGTTTTGTTAAATGTTTCTTGGAGTGCTGGCAAGCCTCCAGGTTGTTACCGATAGGTATACGGGCTCTGGCATCGGAGGAGAAACTGAATCGCGATCTGCGCTGAGCTGTTCTTAAGTCGTCTTGCCTCAGGGCAACAATCACCTGCGTTACCCATAGAACCGTTTTATCCTCTATCGGAAGAGATAGCCGCGTACAAATAAAAGTGGATAGGTACAAAGTTTTGTCTTCAAAATATCATTTTGGCCCATTTGTGGAGATGAAGCAAAAACAACAAGGGACAGCCTCATCCAGCTCTTGACACTCTATTCTTGGCGATGAAAATAGCATTAGTTGTGTTAAATCATCGGCAGTTTTTGGGTGTTGAATCCAGTTAAGTTTTTCAGTGATTGAAACTCATAAATACTGCAGTCTTTCGGTAATCGTTTTCCTCTCTCAAAGGCGGTAGTGGTCAAGCAGTAAAAGGCGTTGGTCCATTTTCTTCTAATTCGTGTACTCAAACCCGTCCCTATCACCCTATTTTTCGTTCCCTATATGGTAACGTTCTGTTGGCCGCGATCGTGTTCCCGAATACTAATTGTACTATTATTTTAACAAAAAAGGCTTATTAAAATTTCCACAAGGAGTACTTCTCTATTTCGTGTGCATTTTTTTAATCTTAGGTTGACTGTTCTTCGTGCTTTCGAATTTGTTGAGTTTCGTACCGCCGTTATTTTGTTCATTCTTTTTGTATTACACAGCTACGTATTACGTCCAAGTCTTGCCCCAGATCAGTACCACTGGTATGACAAGCGAGGATGTGGATACTTTGTTGAAAAAGACACGGGACAGCATGGTATGCTGTTACGAGGAATTAAACAAACTTCCTCCGCCGGCCTGAACGCCCGTTTGATACACACGAACACGGTTTGTCTTGCATTAGACTGATTTCGCGTGTTGTATCCTGTTCCCCTCATCTGCGCCTTATGGATTCCAAGTGCAGCGGAACCCTTATGTTGCCCTTCTATCTCATTCCGCCTGCTGTCTTCTTTCCGGTCGCCATCTGTATTTTCTACGTCGTATTTCTCCCAGATATCGTCGAATTACAGTGACGTTTGATTTGTTGAAAGATTGAATGTTTTATTGTTTCTTTCCACGCGTGTACCATTCACTTCAGGTGACCCCCCCAATCACAGAAGCATGTAATTTCAAATCCAAACATTTTTTCATTTTACAAATCTGAATGTAGTGGTGCAGCCATCCTTCTGTTTTTTCTATTCATTCACATCATGTCCTTTCGGCGTTCGATTGATGATCTATAAAACACTAGCCCCAAAGTGTCATTCTGCACCGTTGTCCTCCTTATCAATTGCTGTAGCGATAGCCCACGCATGTGCTCGTGCTCCACTCTACCACGCCTACCTGCCTTGGTCTCACGTATCGATTCGATCTTCTAGTCCACAGGCGCGGCCGGTGCATGTTTTCCCAGGTGTTTTACTATTCCCTCATCACATCAAATCAACCGCATTGAATCCACTCAATTCAGGTGAAGTTTATTCGACCATATTTTTTGTCGCACCTGTTTGAATTCTAAATATATCTATATTTCCAAATCTTCTCTGTCCATTTGTTTGCCCTTCACAACACCTGAAACTGATCTCCAACAATACACATTATCCATCTCCCTTCGTCGTCCGTTACTCGTTGTTCGTCAGTTTCATCTTTTGTATTGTGCAAATCTGTTCCCCCGATTTTGTCCTTATATTTCGGTAAACGACAGACAACGTTCGTAATGTGAATCTTGTACTTTCCCTCTATGCTGAATCAATATGCATCGAGTCCCGGATCGAGTCACTTTGCTAATAAGTCTTGTTAAGGGCGAGACAGCTGCTCATTGCTCTTCGGCGAACTTTTTATCTTATTGAAATGCTTAGAACAACGACAGCTATTCGCACAAAATGGACTTTGTTCCTTAATCTCAAATAGCTGTTTGCGCACAGTCAGCAAGTTTGAATATCATAGTAGGCAAATGGTATAAAAAATTTCCATGCACAACAATAAACGGTTGGTTGTCGCTGGGGTCAATACCTCGTCTACCCTATCGAGGCCTTATGTGGTTCTTTGCCCCTTTGTTCCCCTTACTGCAACAATAATAGACCTCAATAAATATGGAGTTTTATCCACTTTTATTCACACAACAGACAACGCGAATAATTTTTGTAAGTGATCGGTTATCTAAGTAGATATCCTTTGCAAAAACCCTACAGAAATGGGTCAGAATACAATAGAGTCTAGTGGTAAAGTACAATAATTGCCAACTGAAATCGACGGAAACTAGGTGTGTAGAAGCGAAATAACCCTAATGGGATCCATCACATCATAGAGAATTCTTGTGTACTCAGGTTGACCTACCTGCGGCCATTGGCAACCGCTTCGACGAATCTTCGTATCTTTGTGTTCTGTTTGACGATGGTTGCGGTTCCGTATTTCACGGGTAGGTCATTGGATAGAATTTAGTTATCTCAGAGGAGTGGACAATTGGAGATGTGTCCAATGTAATCAGTTAACAATCTGCCTTCAGGATTGTTCGCCCATGAGAGGGACGTTCCGGAAACAGCATAAATGGTAGTTGAACTCTATAATAAGCTTTCATCAACTGTTGTGTTCGCTTTTTGTAGAGGGCACATATGTATCCGGTCCGTATGCCGGTGAGCAAACAGGAACACACGTAGGAGAGAAGGCAGATAGGTCAACAAAT